AGAAAAAGAATTCAGAAGGCCAATTATTAAGCTAATCAAGGAGGCACCAGAGAAAGGTGAATACCAAATTAAAGAAATAAATATATATATATATATATATGTCTGTGTGTACCTGTGTGTCAGGTAGAAAACCTCGTTCCTGGGGTTTATATAGCTGCGAACAAACAGACATGGCCTCTGCCACATGGACTAATGTCTTGGTTCTTGTCGTAGGAAAACATGTTAGACAATTAGTGACAAGAATAAAGAGAATTATAAAAGAGAAGGTGTGGTGTCCTGTACAAGAAAGAACATAACAAGCTGACTTTGTCTCAACTTGAAGATCAGTCAAGGAACAATTTAAATGAAGACTCAAAGGATGAGGGACATCAGCCATATGCAGAGGTGTAGACAGAACATGCTAGGCAGAGGGAGCTGTAAGTAAGTAGGCAACTAAAGCGCCAGCACCATTAAATAAAATACTGCTTTCGTGGAGGAGAAAAGCTGAAAACTCAATGGTTGTCAAAAGTTGATAAGCATTCAAGAATAATGGTGAGAATAGCCTGCTAATAGCATTATTCCACATTCAGGTTGATGCTGCCCTACCTTTGGACATCCTAACCTATGAAGAGAAGACCTTGTCGGCCATCTTGAGAATATGTAGCAGGTATGACAGAGAGTGGGACATTTATAGTATAACAGGGCAGAGAGAGACCAATGGAGAAATAGAGCAAAAATGCTGTCCTGAGAATGAGAATTTTTTTGTTGTGAACTCTGAGCAGCTTTTGGGAATTTAAACTGGGATGAATATGAACATTCATCCACCAGAAACTTGTACTCTAGAGAGGGCAAAACTTAGGATTTGGTTACAGCTGTAGTTTCCCATTGATGGTTACAGTTGCAAAGTCAGAAGTGAATATTTTAGAAACCTTAGTTGAGGTTCATTGTGTTCTCTGTCTATGACACAGTGTGTATTTTCTTGATATTTCTGCAGTGGTCTTGTCAAATTGTGGAGCTCTTTGACCCTGTTAGGATCCTATAAAGGCAAAAAATGTGCTTTCCGGGTGATTCAGGTAAAGACTATTCCTTCACATATTCCAAACAAGATTGAGTGGTGGGTCGACTGCTTCTTAATATACTCAACTCATTTTTGTGCTTCCATAAATGTAATATGATTAAAATGATCTAAGTAGGGGAAAATAAAGGACTTGATTGTTTCCAAAAATGTGAGCCAGAGCACTTAGATTTTAAATTCTGTGGGAGATGTTTTGGGATAAAACTTGCAGTCCTGTGGTTAAGGCTTATTTTTCACTTAACGCTTAATGCCTTGTGTGTTATATATTGGTATGCTCTTTTTGAGCTGTGACTACTTGTCATTGAAGGCTTCCTCTCAGGATGCTCTGTAAAATGCTCCTGCATCAGTTTTGTTAATCCTATAAAACTGGCACATTTCCCCATTGCCCTGTGCTTCAGTGGAGTTTCTCCCGATGCTTTAACCTTTTTCTTTCTCTTGTAGGTTTCTCCATTTCTCCTTGCATTATCTGGTAATAGTAGGGAACTAGTATTGGATTGAATGAATAGTCTTCCATTTCGGAAACATTTCTCCACTCTCATATTTATTTTTTTGGTGCCTGCATGTTTGAAGACTGAAGCAGGCTAAAAGCTCTTGATGAAATTTGTGGATGCTGAAGATGTTCCCACTAATTTCCAGCCATCGCTTTTGGTGGGGTGGGCTTCGGAGGACAGTCTGCCTGAACCTGCCAGTGCTGACCCTGCAGCACTTTCAGCATATGCACATTAAAGTTGGAGACCGCGCTGAACTTAGGAGGGCCTTCACACAGACAGATGTGGCTACCTTCTCAGAATTAACGGGGGATGTCAATCCTTTGCATTTAAATGAAGACTTTGCAAAACACACCAAGTTTGGAAATACAATTGTACATGGAGTTTTGATCAACGGACTTATCTCAGCTCTCCTGGGAACTAAAATGCCAGGGCCAGGTTGTGTATTTCTTTCCCAGGAAATTAGCTTTCCAGCCCCTTTATATATTGGAGAAGTTGTTTTAGCTTCTGCAGAAGTGAAAAAGCTGAAGCGGTTCATTGCTATTATTGCAGTGTCATGTTCTGTAATAGAAAGTAAAAAGACTGTTATGGAAGGCTGGGTTAAAGTTATGGTTCCAGAAGCTCCCAAATCCTGAAATATGTGTTTAAAGATGTAACCTCAAACAGCAATGCTGTAGTTAAAGAGCCTCTGGGGAAATGGATTGCTGCTTTTCACCAAAGAATGGTTGATAGGCCCAGAAGCCCATCTTAGTTAGGGGAAGGGAGCAGGTATAGGGTTGTTCAAATGCCCACTTTCCGGTTTGGCCTTATGCTTCATGCAGACTTGAGCGTATGCAGGATTTTCATTATCTGCCTGGCTTTTTTGTTTTTTGCTTTTTAATTCAAGAAGTGGGCTGGGCCCGGTGGCTAATGCCTATAATCCTGGCACTTTGGGAGGCTGCGGCAGGTGGACCACTTGAGGTCAGGAGTCCAAGACCAGCCTGACCAACATGGTAAAACCCCATCACTAC